TTCTAGTACTATTGCTCAAAATTGCTCAAAATGTTTTCAGTAACTTTTATCAGTGACAAGTTACCTAATTAGTATGCATTTCGAGAAAACACTGTATGTGTGCATGCGCAGTTTGAAATGGAACAATTTTTGAACGCAATAAAATCACGCGTAGAACTCAGGCTCAAGCAAGGAATTGTGGCTTCAAACTGGTTGTCGGTTGAATTGTTTTGCAATAGATATCATTTTAGAGCCTGTATTTTGTATGTGATGTTTTGTTGAGGATTATTCTGTAGAGTTCGAAATCGCTGAAATTATTTCATCTGTTTGTAATAAGGACGTTAACGTTGTTGCTTCGACGATGGCCTACGGACAACAGACTTCGAAACGTTCCACCCAGATCGGACGGCGCCCTCTCGTGTCACTCCCCTGATATAGACAGTAGAATGGTGAGATTTGTTACTCTGGAAGATAGAGGGCGGATGGTAATCTTACAGCGTGCTTTGGAATTTCATGTGAACAAACAGCACAGTGTTTTACACGCGTTGTATACGTTGTATGTGACCCATACCATAGATGTCGTATCCTTTAATTCTGTTCAACTCTTGTATAAACTACGATCATTCACCGACGACGAAACGATTTGAACAACGGGTAAGGAAAGTTTGTTTGAAAATTGTATTCAGATTGACATAAACCAAGAACATAAAACAAGAGAAAATTTGAAAAAAAAAGACGGATTTTATTTCTTGAAAACAGTTGTTATGAGCACACGACTGTAAAACTACATATATCGAATGAATTCATTTCAGCAAAGTGGCGTCCTATCAATGACGTACTAATGTGAAAATAATCAGTAAATACGTCGGCGATTCGGAGGCAACTTATTCTTTTTCCCCATATGAAAACAAGTGTATCGAACACATGTAGACATACATATGCAACTTTACAATGTATTTTAGAATCTGGTTTAAGCTTTACATAGGTTTAATAAATCTGCTAATATGGCATTCTAGAATATGTGAAATATCTGAATACTACTAACAGAGTAAGACTGGTATAGGGCTCATACCACTAATTGAATTTCCATAGACGACAATGTTAACATATGACGAGATTGCTATATGAAAATAATGAACAAAATTGAAAACATGGCTCAAAAAAGGGGAAATCAACATGCCAGTAATCAGCCACTTGAAAAAACTAACATGTTGGCCAGCTCAAACTCTTGCAAATCTCAGGTAAACAAGACACACCTACTGCATTTGGATTGCATCTGGAGAAATTACTGGAAAAACACCAAGATTAGAACATCTAAATACACACAGGATTAACTCTCAGGTACACAGTTGCTAAGTAGTAAACAAAAGACCACATGTTGGTCTCACCTTTGACCCAGGTGATCACGCCCTCAAACAGGGAGCACCTGAGAAAAAATATTTAAACAATTTTATTGGTTCTTGCAAGGCATTTAAATTGATTGATTGATTGATTGATTGACTGATTGAATTAAATTGGCTACAAGCAGCCATTGGTTGATTAGTGGCATGAGACCTATATATCGAAAAGCAAGGTTGTCTATTAATTCGCGTAAAAATAACTTGTTAGTAATTAATCGCATTTTTGAAACAATAGCTGTAGAAACAACACCAGCGGGAAAACTATTCAGGATATACAAACAAATGACACACTCTGTTATTCCTCCTTGCAATGTAGAGCAATTCATGAAACTACGCTTGACATCAAAAAGTAATTCGTTTGAGATATTCTGTAAAACAATGTATCCATACTGTATGTGTTTTAATTAATGAGGAAAAAAAGTAGTGTTTCAATACATGACATATATGTATATATTGAATGTAGTTCTCATTGCATATAATAAAGTGTGTTTTAATAATCGGCTGCTTATAAAGACTGTGGGTTAGAATATAAGTACAAATTGAATTGATTATAGTTGTGTTACAACTCATAGTGTGTCTCACCACGATCACTTCAATTACAATGTATTTACATACTATCTTCCAAATTAATTACATTCTTCTTAGATTGTAACTAATCGTGCTATTACTATGGTAATCATGTAGATATATGTCTATCACGCCAGGTGAACGTTTGAATTGAAACTGTTAATGTTGCTGTCGCTTGATGAAAGTGTTCGATATGCACGAGCAGGTAGTTCTGCGCGTCGTGAACTTACAAGTATCCACGACATTACGATTATCATACTAGGAGGTTATTACAAAGATACCGAAAAGTATGCACGAAGACATTACAGCGGGATTATGGACAGACGCGTGTACTATCTGAGTGCATACTTTTCGGTATCCTCGTAATAACCTTATTATTATACATCTTTTCCTCCCAAGGATACGTCATGGGAATGCCGAAAAGT